CTTAAGCATTATGTAAAATTGTATTTATTTTATATATCTATGTACTGATGAGTTTCTTCGATTTAAAAGATAGAAATCATTTAGTGAAAGTAAATCAATATCTATTATGTTTTATTTAGCCCAGAATTGGATTCACTATGCTTTTTGGTGTTGAATATGTTTCAGATTTTGGAGGAGAGGTGATTCAGGGTATAGAACCCAGGCTTTCTGCATGTGAGGCTCTATCACCGAGCTCCATTCCAACCCCTGTACACTGAAGCTTTACAGATTAATAACAATATAGAATATTTATGGGAAATGCATGAATAGCATAATGTTATTTTCACTACAGGTATTAAATACTTACGTAGCAGCTAGCTTCTCAAGAACTTTTTTAATTCCATAGCTCATTTTATTTGAGGTTAATACATTGTGTTAAGTGATACAGTTTTAATTTATTAGTAGAAGAAAACATATTTTTGAAAAACTAGGCTTAGTCTTAACTCCATTTAACAATAACAACAAGAACTTAAAATGTTTTATGGGGTGTTTCTTACATCTATTCATTAGTGTTCCAAACCTTATATACTATGTCTTCAGTAGTACTATGAGGAGGAAATTCCTAAGTATTCTACATAAGGTGGACACACACACACACACACACACACACACACACACACACACACACACACACTATAATAAAGGAACATTTGCTCTCAGTTGCTATATAAGTCTTAAAAAGTTAAGTGGGAATATATGGTCTGTTTTATGTATATTTTCTGTTGAATAGACAAAAGCTTGTGGTTAACTGTGGTTAAAATTTGTAAGGAAACTCCCTTTGAATAAAGTTTTCAGTTTCCTTATTTTTTTGTTTGTAACCCATTAATCAAAACACCTCCAGTGAATGCCATAATGTTTTCAAAATTATGAGATTATATTAAGATGTGTAATATCATTATGTGAGATTTCCTATTCTAAAGATTTGTTTTAAAAGATTAACCATTGTAATGATTTCATGAAGATTTTCCATATTCTTGAGACCATTAGAATATTTTACATTTAGAAAATTCAGATATTAGCATTTATTATCTTTAACATGTGAGTGTAGTGATAGTGTTGTGTGTGTTTTTTTTTAATCTGGGTGGAAATAATATAGCCGTCATTGGTATAGGAGAAAAATTGCACTAAGGTAACTTACTAGGAAGTCTTGGTCTAAATTTGTATTTGATTTTCTAATACCTTTTATAATAATATCTTTGTCTTGGTAAATGATTAGAAAGAAAGTTATGCCTGGTCACAGTTACAATTTTAGATTTTGTAGGAATTTTTTTTTCACATTGGATTGATGTTATTTGTGAATTTAGCTATAATTTTTTTAAGAGACACTAGAGGTTGCTTTAATGAAACTTACATAAAATGTCTCTGAAGACTTTAATTCTTAATGTTTCTGATGAACTTTTGCATTACATAGGATTGTCATAGCTTAGTGCTATGGAACAAATTTTAAAGCATCACTGAATGTTGGCATTTTTATGCTTTGGAGAGCAATTTGAGATGTTACCCTGTTTTGCCATCAGCTTTCAAGTATGCATGGGTACATCATTAATCATAGGAAATGCAAATATAAATAATCCAGTCCCATTGGATTTTTTATATGAATACTTACCTTTTCCTTTATATATATAATATATATAGTTGAAGTATTTAGGTAACCTTTAACCTTTTACTTTAACAAAGAAGTACAGTATAAAAATATTACCACATTTTCATGTGAGCAGCTCTTGAGAGGAAAAAAATGCCTCTAGATGAATATTTGTTGAAAAAAAGTTGTGATACAGAATGTCTTAACTCTGCCCCAATATAGTACTTGAGGACCACCAGTGTGTAAAATTGAAAGCACATGAGTTTTGAAGCACTAGAAAAGGTTTGTAATTGATTAGCGTTGCTTGAAAGTATTGAAGTACAGTGCAATTTGATTTGTGAATGGTTCTATTCAATAAAGATTAATTCTGTGTGTTTGATAAAATCTTAGTGCCTTCAATGAGTTAGCTTCCCCCCCTGCAGTTTATTTAACCATCAAATACTTCAGTGTTCTTTTAACAAACTGGAACATTTCTATCTTGCTGAATTCAACTTTAGCATGACTGATTTAAACAAGTCAGACTATCAGTGATTAGCTTGAAGGGTGTAATTGAATAGATTAATTTTTTTATTAAAAGAACTAAAATGTATCATAATGAAATCATGCATATTTCATGCCTTTCTTGTGATTTAGAGGTTCACATGAACTATTATGATCTTTTCCTGCAATTTCTTTTTAATCATTTATATCACAAACCATTATTAAAAGTTGAAAGTAGAATCATTAAGCATATTTCATGTAATAATGAAATCTTTTTGGAATTGTATGCCCTGAAATTTTTAGCTTGTAATATATATTAGTTTTCAATGTTAGTTCTTGACTTAATTCTCCCTAGATTATGGAATTTAGCTCTTCTTGTTTTAGAGAGAAAACTGTCATTGATACAGACCACAAATATTGTTTTGGAAATCACTGGTCACACATCTATCTGTCTTATCAGTTAAAACTTTGGTCAATTATGAAGATTTTATGTAGAAATTTAATCAGTCAGCTGATAATTTTTCACAAGTTCTTAATTATAAGATAGTGAGTCAATCTACTGTTTCCAACAAGCTTGAATATATTTTGAAAGCTCTTGGTAAAAGTATGCTGAGAGATCAAGGACATTTAGACTCTTAACTGGCTTTTTCTCTCTGTCTCTCCTCTGTCTCTCTCTCTCTCACACACACATGCACACACATTCTCGCACATGCTCACATACTGACACACCTTTCATTCATTAGAGTTGAGGTGAGATAATCAGTCAATATGTCCTTTGTCCTTTATCTCAATTGTCTTTTTTAACTACCTTATAAAATTGAGCTATACCCTTAAGGCATTTTATTAGGTCATTGTAATAGTCCTTCTATAAGAATTTAAAGGTGAAAGTGAGATTTTAGACTTCAAATAGATTATGGAATGATGACATGTATGCATTGTGATAATAACCTATACTGAAAGTCCTCTCTCCACCTGTAATGTAGTTTAGTGTACTGGGTGCTTGTTAGGCTCTGAAGTGCTATTTGTGGGAGGGGGAAGGGAAAGAATGAAATTTACAGAGGATGAAGAATTGGTTACAGTGTTAAAGATATTATGTAGTACTAATAAAATAAATCAGCTTACTTTTATGTCTTTCATAGAAACTTGATCAGGTTTTGGAGATTTTAATGTGAATATTTCTTAAAAATGTTATAAAATACGACTCCTTGTAAAATAGAAGGAACATTTCATCACATTCTTTGTGACAGCTTTCTTTCTAATGTTGAAGTGTTCTTAACTGTTTGATATGCCTGTTTCAGCTAATCCCTCCATATAACAATAGCATTAACAATTTTTTCTCATCTCTTGAGAGGTAATAGCAAAAGGTCTTCCATGTGAGCTATAATTACAATATGGGTTATAATGCAGTCCAGTTGGAGTTATTTTCTGCTTCCTACATACAGAAAGCTTGAGTAATGCTTAATATCCACTATTAAAATTTTGTATAATCAGTGATTATTATGTTGTATGTATTGTAACTGTGAAGGGACCCACTTATAGCTATTGAGGGAGTCATTACAGCAATTTTACGTTTTGTAAAATATGAAGTACATTTCCTCACTCTAGAAGAGAAACCTTTTCCCCTCTCTTCAGGTTTAATTATTTCTCTTTGACCTAAACTCAGACTGATCCTCTCTTCAGCAGTGGCCAGTTAAAATGTATAAAGTAGGAGGAGTAAGCAGACTCCAGTCATTAGTTGAAAACAACTAGCAAAGTTTATATTGGTAGATGTAGCAAAAAGATTTATTTTAAAGGAAAAAAGAAAACAAAACTGCCTCGTAGTGGGAACATGTTGGACATCATAAAGTGAATCTTGTAAGTGCTCTGATATTTTACTCTAGTACCCTGCCAGCTGATGAATATTGAGATCACTTATATGCCTGTATCAAACTTAACTTGGAGTTAAATATTAGAGGGCTGGATTATGCCTATTCTGTTTTATTGAAATCCAGCATACTTTAATAAGTATGGCTCTTTAAAATAATCCAGGATATCCTTTTGGAGCTTTATTTTCCCCTAGATTAAAACCAGTATTCATTTTTGTAGGTCCAAGAAAGTGATTAAAAGAATCTTAGATGTTTCTGTGTTTCCTGAGTCTATCACAAGTTTAATAAGTTATTACAGTGTATAGATGAAACATTAAAATTAAAAAAATACATTTGCATATAAGTTTTAAAGGACTTTTAAACGTTTAAATATCCCGGGTAACTCTAAAGATCTTTTCAAAATGGCTATGATGTACTTAGAATAATTTTATTCTAGTTGAATCTGTATTTCATTTATATCAAGTTGTTTACAAATAAGAATGTATATATCTTATGATGCACTTAGAAATTATAAATAGATTTCTTTTAGTTGAACTAGCTAAAATGTTAGCTTTCCTCCAGGTTTATTTCTGTAACGTACAGGGAAGGCCATAATGTTAATGATAATTTTGTGGTCTGTTATTTTGTAAAATTGCTTCCTTTTTGAACTTTGCTCAAATATTGAGAGCTGCCGAGTCAATAATTTTTAATAAACTCGGTTAATTTAGCATCTGATTTTGTTCAAGTGAAGGTTAATGAGAATATAGAACTGTTACTGTTTTGACATCCTCATTTCAGTGCCTCTGGAAAGCGTTTTGATTACCATGAGATCATTTAATTTTGTCTATTTCATGTCATTACTCTGAGAGTTAAACTTACAGATGCCAAGCACAAGTATTTGCAGCAATTTCACCTTTCAGTTTTTTGATGAACAAAATAGCATTATTCTTATGTACTTTACCCTTATCTGGACAAACTAGCAGCTTATCAAGAATCACACCTTTATGTTTTGCAGGTTCATATCTTATAGGATTTTAAAATATGATAACACTTACCCCAGAAGAAGTTTTGCTGGCATGGTGTCACTGTGCTGAAGAGGCTGTTTGATGCCATAGTCCCTCCTTCTTTTCCAGATAGAACTTGTACACTCTGTTGTAAATACTGCTTGCAGCCTTAAACTGAAAATACAAACCATACCCAAACCTTGTTTTAGTTTTACAGTATGCCTGGAGTACATAGACTTTATATTTATTTTTTTTCTGTCAAGAAATTATGTAGCTGGTAACATGTGAAAAGCAAAGAAACAAAACAAAAAGAGAATGAGCAAATATTTGAAGGACCTACTATTACTGCATAGACTGTGGTTAGAGGGCACTCACTGACTCTGTTGGTCTCGGTGGCTGGTAGTGACCTGCGGAGATTAACCATTTAAAAACCAGAGACTTCTTGCTGTCCTCCTGGAGAAAGTTTGCACCGCACTTGTGGTTCTGTGGTTGTTTGTGAGGCGAATGAAGCATTCACACAATCCAAAAAAGCAAAAGCTTTAAAACTCCTTTTTTTTGCAAGCACTATTACTGGAGAGACAGAATCATGTGGTTTGTGACCTCACAGTACTCAAAGTAAAGTGGGACTGCCTACCACTGTGGCTTTCCCTTTGCACTCTCTCTCTCTCTCTCTCTCTCTCTCTCTCTTTCTCTCTCCTCTCTCTCTTTCTCGTCTCTCCCTCTCTTCCTCTTTTCCTCTCCCTCTCTCCCTCCTTTCTCCTCTGTCTCTCCCTCTTTTCTCCTCTCTCCCTCCCCCTCTGCCTCCTTTCTCCCTCCCTCTCTCCCTCTGTTTTCCCTCTCGCCCTTTCTCCTTTCTCTCCTCCTTTCTCTGTTCTTCCCCCCACTCCTCTCTCTCCTCTTCCCTCTCTTCTCTTTCCTTCTCTCTCCTTCTTTCCTCTCTCCTGTCTCCTCTCTTCTTTCTCCTTTCTCCTCTCGTCTCCCCTTTCTCTCTCCTTTTCTCTCTCCCCTCTCCTTTTCTCTCTCCTGCCTCTCTCTTCTATCTACTCTCACTCCTTTTTCTCTTCTCTCCTCTCTCTCCTTCCCCTCCTCTCTTCTCCTGTCTCTCTTTCTGTCTGTCTCTCTCTCTCTGACAAAAGGCTTGTGGTAAGGCCTTTCCTGGCATGCAGAAGGATATAGCTTTTTAATTTTTGTGACTCATGAGGATTTGGATAGAATACAAAATGCTGAAGGAGCCTGAACTCCTGTAAGGTTGAACATTTTTTAAAGCAGACCTCTGCAGCTAAGGGCTTTCCTTCCTACCACTTCCCCTCCTTTTGTCCTTTCCTTTTTCTTATCCCCTCCCCTCCTCTTTTTAGTTCTATATTATGTCTGTGGAAGAGTGAGCAAAATTGGCTCGAGAGACTGTGTGAAATTCTGAACAACAGTGATGATTTACAATAATTTACATCTTTGAATTGTATCACATTTTGGGGTCTGCTTTATATTTGCTAGGGTTGCTGACTTCCTTCTGTTTTCCTTTTTCTTGTCTTCTTAAACTTGTGAATCTGTAACTCATTGTAAAAGTTTACCTTTTTAAAGGTCTTCTTGCAAACTGCTTGCTGGGCTTGACTGTAATTGGTTGTCATGAAACTGTTGGTCTGGGGATTCCTTTACAGATATTAAATCATACCTGTCTAGTTTGTTTTCAATATTAGACAGTGACTCTTATAATAAAGATTATATGTGATTAGAATCATTTATATCATGTTTTCCTTTATCTTATGACTAGTTTAAAAAGCCTAAAACTGGTAAGAGTTATAAAATCATTTTTTTGGAGGAAGAATCTTAGTTTTCTTTATAATTATAATTTATAATTTAAGAAAATATCCACTTTGTATAATTCTTTAAGTAGTTTGTTCAGACATCAGTAGAACTTTTTATTCCACATTTTATACATATATAAAGTAAAATACTTAAGTTGTACCTTAGGTTATTCAGCCTTAGATTTTATGGACCCAGAATGGAGTGGGTTAACAGAAGCTGTATTTTTTTTGTTTATAATGAAAGCTTTGAAATAAATTACAAAATGCTGTGTGTAGTAAGGAATATTGCACACAGACAGAGTATGTTAGTCGTCTCCATTTGCTAATTCTGATTCAAAAGAAAATTGAAAACATCTTTGGGAAACTATCTCTTCTCTTTGCCCCCTTGGACATGTATGTATAGAACTCATTTTCTTATTAAGATGATTATATATCATAGGCAGTGAATTTTGTATTTATGAATAGAGCTTCCTGTTTTCATCAGATGAGAGCGATGGGGGGGTATTTTTCAACAAAAATTATAAAGGAGAACAGACCAATTTTCTAGGCATTTTTTTTAACATTTATCCACGCCACACTGAATCTGCATGTTAGACTTCTTCACAGAATGATAATAACTAGGAGTGGCAGGAAATAGATGACTGAGAGGGTGGGCAGAGATGGTGCATTACAAAAGGTTATCTGGGATATACAGGGCAGTAAGGGGGTGCTCAGTGAGTTGCAACTAAAATATCCTTGTACATATTCTTTTTGCACAGTTTCTTGTCTGTTTTTGCTTCATAATAGCTGAAGAGAACTATGCAAACATGTTTATAACATTCTTTACAAAAAACTGATCTTCCCAAAATACACTGAGAGGACATGGGAATGATTTAAATCCTTTCTTATTCAAATATCCAGAACTTTTTCAGAATAAATGTTTAGTGATTAAAACCCAGTATATTTTGTTGTTTTAAGCACAGTCTTACCATGCTTTATTGTGCACACGAGCAAGTTTTACACTGAAATATGTTCGTTTAACATGGATTTATCCAATGTAAAGGGGAGCTATCTTCTTTCATAAATTAGGTGTGATACTGTGATCATTATCTCTATTATCCAATGCAAATAGTAGGAAGATTTTTGTTGACATAATGTGGAATTTCTAAACATGGTTTTATACACGCTTAATAGCAGTTTGGCAGTTGAGAATATTGAGGTAACTTTTGTAGTAGGACAAGCAAATGTTTTTCTTCTTTAGAATGAGCTTTTAGTTTCTGCATCAGGATTCTTTGACACGTTTTATGATCCTAACTTTTTGCTGGATATTCTCTTCCTTAAAAGAGCTTTTTTTATTGTGTCTACTTTGGTTCTCCAAATTGACCTAAAATCAATTTGAATAATTTTTAACATCTGATTTGCCTTTTAAGTGCTTGTTCTTTTTCTTTAGGTAACCTTCTTACATATATGTAATCTATGGGTTAGAATTGCTGTTCTTACTCTTTTTGAACATGTGCCTTCCCTCCTGCGTAAGGGCATTCAAATCCTGTAAGAGAATGATAGTAAAATCATGAGTTTTGAAATTCATGTGTTCACTATCCACATAATATCTCACTACCCCCAAATTGGAAATCTATCCGCTTTGGAGCACATATCACTTTGAGGTAGATATTTCGAAACAACAGTGATCCATTTAATACTGTTTCATTAGAAATAGCTTCCTACCTGTGGTGGAGAGAGACTCATGGGTAGTCATAGCAAATAAATGTCATGCTTATAATCAGGAATGGAAAGCACAGGTTTTTCTTTAAGGCACTTAAAACTTTATTATTTTGGGATATATTAATGTTTGTTGTAATCAACAGCACATTTAGGTCCACTCTGTACCTTATGTAACTTGATACCACAGAAATAAAGCACAGCTTTGAATTGGAAATCAATTGGAAAAAAATTGAGGAGTTAACATCTTTCCTATTTATCTTCAGTAGTTTGTCAAAATTGGTCAAACAAAATACTAAGGTATTTCAAATATAGCAATGCAATGTTTAAATATACTATCTGTACTTATTGTTATCCTTTGAATTAGTCTTTACTTTCTCAGCTAAGATTATAGTTTAGTATAGTAATTTTATCAACACTGTGTCCATTTCTATACTTTTAAAAGAGATTGTTTTATACTTATTTGCTGCTTTTCCATTCTTTTAATTGAAAACAGCAAGTAGTTTTATAAACTGTAGATGTCTAGTTTAGCTTAAGATATTCTGATTGTGAAGATTTAGCAGGGAACTTTTTTGATTTATTATTTATTTAGTTAGTATTTGATAGTTTACTTTTTAATCATTTTCCTTTTTTTAAAATTTGATATATAGATTTAATATTTGATAGAAGCTTAAAAATCTGTTGGGGGAGTGGCGCTGTGGCTAAAAGAGGTAGAGCTCTAGCCTTGAGAGAAGCTAAGGCCCCGAGTTCAAGGCCCATGACCAAAAATAAACAAAAAAAATCTGTTGGGCTTACATTCATAACTTAACATTTTTTCTTTAATAAAATATGTGTAGTTTTATACTTAAAATTCGAATTATGAGATCCCAGTAACACTTCCTTATTTTAGTGGGTGTATGTATGTGCCTGCATTCATCTATGTATGATTATGTGTTTATGCAGGGTATTTTTTAATTCTTATAATGAGAACTTTTTTTTTTTAATTAGGTCATGTTAAAAGCCCAAACCTTTCCATGGGTTTTTGAATAACTTTATTTAGATATTTTTAGCAGTTGTAGTTCTCCATGTGATATGTAGAAATCAGGTGTTCAAGGAGGAAATACTAGGTCATTCTTTTTCTTGTCTGCCTCCTCCCCCCTCCTCTTCACTAGGTTTTTCTCTTTACTCTCCCTCTTCCTAGGTTATAGGCAGCTGTTGTGGTTTTTTCATATTTTGATGCGTTTTTTAAAAAATACACTCTCAAAATAGATTCTTAGTTTGATATTAATCCTCACTGATGAACCTCAAGTAGGTCTGAAACTTAACATTCATTGGAAATTGTTATTTCCTGATATGTTATACCTCATTTGCTAGAGTATGGGTATCTGGTTGCAGAGATTTTCTTTCTTTCTTTTAACTTGTCATTTTTTTTCTTGGAATCATTCCTTTATGTTATTTTACTTTAATGTGTTGTTTCATGTGCCATTACTACTTTTAATTATGAGGATTACTTTGGTTTGTTTTTAAATTGTTTTTTGAAGTACACAAACCCATACTTGTTTAATATAAGCTGTATAAATATTTTTTGTTTCTTATGATTATTGAAACAATTCATCTTCTAATGCTGTCACTTTTTAAGAATAAAAAAAGGTGATAACTTGCAGAAAATATGGGAAACATGCTCAGATGACAGCTGAGGATGTGGCTAGACTAAAGCAGGAAACTACTACCCACAATGCAGTGTTACATACACTGCCACTTAATAAAATTTATATCAAACATGCTACTGACAAAACCAAAGAAAAATCATATTCCAGCTTTGCCAGTGAATGTCTAGGGAAAAGTGAAACTAATCTTTTTAGAATCTTATCCTTAGAGAACTGAGTAAATGAAACTGTGGGTCATCCTCATATATTTGGGGCACCAAGTAACATTGCTTTTGTGTTTATAGGAGTTGGTTGTAGGTGCAATTGTCTATTGCAAGCACCTTTTGGATAATACCCCTCCTTGGAAAAGACACCAGGACAGCTCTCTTTCATT